GTTGTGCGTGTGTGTGTGTGTGTTATTTTTTTTTTTTTGCTTTTTGTGTCTTCGTTTTGGTTGTGGAAAGGTGTCGTGGGTGTGCCTTGGGGGGCATAGATACACATACACACTTTTGTATTTATTGGGGGTAGCTGCACGACAAGCACTAGACCTGAATGTGTGGATGCTACATTCCTCGCGGAGGTTGTTCGTGTTCACGCAAATGCCACGTGTAGTCACCCTTGGTGTGACGGGCGGCATTGGAAGTGGCAAGTCTGTACGTTGCGGTCATCTGCTGCGGTTGGCACAGGCGCGTGCACGGCAGTCAATACATTCCTTTGCGGCGCACATTATCACTGGGGACAAGGTGGGCCATGATATTTATTCTCCGGGAAAGCCGTGCTACTACGACATTATCGGTGCATTCGGGAAAGACATCCTGCAGGACAAAGAAAAAAACACATTGACAGTGACATCATCTTCTTCCCCAAGCGAGCCATATATTGACCGAAGGAAGCTCGGGGCTCGCGTGTTCGAGGAGTTTCATTCAAAAGAGTTGCAGCAGCTTAACAATATTTGTTGGTCGCACATTCACGATGCAGTTGAGCAGGAGATTGAGGTCGCTTCGAACAAGGCTCTAGCAAATAAGAAAGCCGTGCTGTTGATTATTATGGAAGCTGCACTCCTCCTCGAAAGCAGTTTGTTGTCTCTGTGCGACGATGTTTGGATCACGACATGCGACAAGCGCGTTGCTGTGGAGCGTGTGATGAAGCGTGATCACTTGACAGAGCAGCAGGCCACGGCCCGTGTTGAGGCCCAAGGTAGTCTTGATAAGAAACTGGAGTTTTTGAAGAACATAAAGTTTAAAGGCGAGGTGGTGACATTTAACACGACATGCGAATCCCTGGAGGAGGGACTCAAACGAGTCACGATGGCCTTCGACGAATACTGGCTGCGGAAACTGCAGCCGCTACTAAATAACCCGGATGCGGAAATGGGTTCATGGTAAGTGTCTCGAGGCCTGCAACTTTAGCTCTGACGCAGGTATTGTGTATGTCGTTGCATACAAGAGGTGCGAGAAAACCCAAAACAGAAGATTTATTGTTATTACTACTACTTGAGGCGATTGGAGTCCAGAGCGAATGCACACACACTGCATACATATATATATATATATATATATTATTATTATTATTATTATTATACTCCTGTAGAAGCCGTATGCCTGCGTTTTATTTTTTGACCTCTGGCTTCGATGTGTCTTGAAGTAAGTGAAAGAGGGAACGAAAAAGTTATTTGTGGAGAATGAGAGAGACAAGGAAAAACAAGTTATGCGCTTCCACTTGCTTGCATTTGCTGGCAGTTAATTTTTTTCTAGGTATTGTTTTTTTTTTCACTACAAACTGACTTCGTTCTTTTTTACTTTTTTGTTCGTTTCCGTTGGTACAGTGAGACAGCGGTGCCGGCCGCATTTTGTTTTCCTTCTGCCTTGCTTTTTCAATGTTTTTTACCCTTTTTTTTGTGTGTACGTGTCAGAGCGACGGCCTGCAGGGAATTTGTTTGTTGCGCGTTGCCCACATGGGCATCCCACCACCATCGCCCCTTTTACGCGTTGTTTCTACTGATGCGTATTTGGCGTACGCTTGACGCTGTTGAGTGTGGGCGTGTTTGGGTTGTGCTTTTGCGCTGCGTGTTTAGCGGCGGGTGGGAGGGGAGGGGCTGTTTTTGTTCTCCGCTGCGTGTATGCGTTGCTTGCTGATCTTCTCTCTTATATCTCGCGTTTGCCGCCTTTTCGTTGCGGGGCAGCAACAGCAGCAGGAGGGCGTCAAACATACTAATTAAATAAATTGTGAGGTACCCACCCACATAACGAGCAAAGAAGTGGGGAAGAAACAAAACAAAAATTGAAAAAGCGAAAACATAACTTCTTCACCCTGCCAGAGATGTCCACAGTGGAGGAACTGCAGCAGACGATCATCGAGGAGAGGAGGCAACACCAACAGACGATGGAGACAATGCTGCGGCAGCTGGAGACGATCCAGAGTGTTCTTGAAGACCAAAAGCAATTGCTCCAAGAGCTCATTACACGGGTTACAAAGCTGCGGGTATTGAAGTATGAACTCCTTACAAACGAGTCCGGCAGCATTGTCAAACAATTGAAGTTTAATACAGGAAGCAAGGGCGTGGATGAATTACTCTACCGCCTACATGACATGCTGGAGGAGGCAACACTAACGGGCGGCACCGTCCTGGACAAACTTTACAGGGCTGCCCAACAGATCTTGACGCATGGTAAATCCAGTACCAGCTCAACGAAGCGGAGCAGCGACATCGCATTCGTGGTGCGAAAAGACATTCGTGGATCACAATCCTGGGCACGAAAGCACTACAAGAAATGCTCTACTTGCGGAAACAAGCGGGCAGGTTTGCCATCATGGGAACAAACAAATGAAAAAAGTTTGGGTATTACTCAATTACAGGATCTTAGTAGTATTCCTGGAAAATGCTTTTACAAGGCCGCTATTCGGTTTTTTAAAAAAAAGTGTGGAGAACGAATGCTTGACATCTTCCGCGTCTCAGCGGTTGTGGCTATGAGAGGGAAAAATGGATCTCGTATCACGGATCCTGCCGCTACCGCAAATAAAATCACAGAGGTTATCACTGTTTGGATTCAAAAGGAATTGGCTGCCGCCAGGGAGAAGGCAAAAAAGGCACCATGGAACGAGGAGGCCACGAAGAATTTGCTACTCTCTGGCGCCATTGAGGTGTTCTTGCACTCATTGAACGTAACTGTGACTGTTTCAGTGGCTTCACCAACACTCGCGAATGTGATGGACCCAGGCTGTACCCCCATGGATGTTAATGTCGTGATCTTAACACCAACGTACATTCCCGCTCTGTCTTCACTTCTGGGGCTGCTTTCTGATGGTGAGCAGCGTGCGTACTTTGTGAAGCATATCATTGAACCTTTGGCAGAGAGATTGGGTAAATTTGTGGACATGGTTGAGGTCGTTACCCGATACACCAGTTTAGCAACGAACGTCGTGGATTCACTTATCCTAATGGCGCAATCGAAGAGACTTTCTGAGGTCCTTCAAAAAGATGTCCCCCAAAATGTGAAGATCACCCCACAAGAGACGACGAAAAGGCTGCAAGCTGTTTTTTGGGTTCTAGCGGCATTTGGCGCAAGTGTGGAGGTGGACTGTGCGATTCCATTTCCAGGAGATATAAGTGACATTGCTGGCGTCAAAGAAGCTGTTTTAAATGCTGCAGAAAGCTTTCTGCGATTACTCACCGCACCCAAACCCTACACGACTCCTCCTACAGACGATCCAAAGGCTGCTAATCTGATCATCCGTCTGTTGCGGGCACCCACCATGTTTTTGGAAATTTTAAATAGCACCTTTAGTAGTAATCGTCGTCTGCCTTCGACAGCTCGTGTTGACGTTGCAGATTTGCTTGTTTCCCCTAAGGCTAAAATTCGTTATGGGCTTAAGATTTTTTCGGAGATTATTGTGAATATATACCGGCCGTACGCACCGAGTACAGGGGTCGTCATTGCGGATGAGAATGGCAGGGGGGGGAAGCCAAAGGCTGCGGGATGTATTCCTGTCGCCAATATGCCGCGTGACATTGTGCGCGCTAACATGGAGGTGGCGGAGCAGGCGGAGTCATACATGAAAAGGTTGGTAGCGTGTCGAAAGGATACCGAGATTAACAGTAAGTTGTCACAAACCGGGAAGGCGCTTTTAAAACAGATGATACTGGAGGCGCACGAGGATACACTCTTTTTCGGCATTTATGAATGACATGGAGGCGCTGCAGGTGGAAGTAGTGAAAACGGTGGGTGGGTGCGTGGACGTTTGGCTACCGTTCAACATTGACGTGACGGGTGCGGCGGGGTGCCCATGCGAACTCCTGTACATCCGCCTGGAAGGGCATCGCCATAAGTAGGAAAGCCCAGAATGAGAGCGGATGTGCGCGTATAAGTGAAATGGAGGGACTTTTGTCGAAGTGTTTTTCTCTTTCCTGCTTCTTGTCCCTATTTTTTTTTTTGTTTATTGGCTTATGTTTTTTTTTTTCTCGCTTTTTAAAACTTGCTTATTTTGCGTCGGTGCAGTTTGCCTACTCGTTGTTAGTGTTATTACACTTGTTCTGAAATTTACTGCTGTCAGGAGCGTATTTTTTTTTCCTTTGTTTGTTTGTTTCCTGTTCGCTGCTATTTTCTCTCTCTTTCTCTCCGTGCGTGGGGGAGGGGGAGGGACAGGTAAACATGGCTGTGTGGCGCAACAGTTACACGGGCGAGCAAGCGGTCCATGACGAGCCAAATGAAATCTAGTAGAGAAGAAAAAAAAAAACAGGAGTTTTCGTTGCCGACCATCCCCTCCTCTGTTTTCTTGCATCTCACCACGTCCCTTCTCCGTAACGCTGCCGCTGATGATCTTTGCACACGGAAACACACATAAATGGGCGATGTGCCCCTTTTTTTATTTGATTTTGTGTGCGTCTGTGCGTTTGTTTATTGTTTTATTGTTTTTTTTCCTTCTGCGTTTATTTCGGGGTGTTGTTGCTGCAAGCTGCGAATACTGGGAGTCATTGGAGGTAACAAAGGGGGAAAGAAAAACGACAACAACGACACGAGGAGAACTGCAGATATTTACAAAAAAAGAGAGAATTAGAGAGAGACCGAGGAAACAGAGAGGGTATCAAGTTGTGCAGAGCTTTCTTCCTCTACAAGGACCTGAGACTCACATCCTTGGAGAAGTGTTCAACGACCAACCGCTGAGGAGCATAAGGGGTGAAAGGGGGGAAAAGTAAGGCAGGAAGAAGGCTCAGTACAAGGAGCCACACCCACTGCAAGAAGAGGGAAAACTGTGGGAGATCCTCCTCGGGATTAAATGTCGCTCAACCTTGCTGAGGCCGCTGATGAGCGCAGCCAGAAGGAGATGGAAAAATATTTAGTGGAGCGCGTGGCTGGTCAGGGAACGTTTGGGACTGTGCAGCTTGCCCGTGAAAAGGCCACTGGGATGGATGTAGCAATTAAAAAGGTCATTCAAGATCCGCGATTCAAAAACCGTGAGTTGCATATTATGCAGGACTTGGCACGCCTGTGTCACCCCAACGTTGTTTTCCTAAAAAATTATTTCTATACGGTTGTAGGTGATCACCGACGCAATGACGTGTACCTCAATGTTGTTATGGAGTTTCTCCCGGACACGCTGCACCGTGTATGCCGTTCGTACTATCGGCGTCATGTGAGTCCTCCCATGATATTGGTGAAGGTTTTCATGTATCAACTACTGCGGGGGATTGCCTTCCTTCACCTGCCTGCTGTAAATGTCTGCCACCGTGACATTAAACCGCACAACGTTCTTGTTGACGAGTCTACGGGTGAACTGAAATTGTGTGACTTTGGGAGCGCAAAGAAGTTATCGCCAGCGGAGCCAAATGTTGCGTACATTTGCTCCCGCTACTACCGTGCCCCGGAGCTTATCTTTGGCAATCAGTACTATACCACAGCGGTGGATGTCTGGTCGGTCGGTTGTATCTTTGCGGAGATGCTGCTGGGTGAGCCGATATTTTGTGGCGAGAATACTTCCGGGCAGCTGCGGGAAATTGTGCGCATTCTTGGACGACCCTCGCGAGAGGAATTAAATAAGCTAAACACCAGCAACGCGGATCTAAGCGTGCCAACGAGCAGACCGACGCCTTGGGTGGACGTTTTTAAGCGCCCGCTTCCCTCCGAGGTGTACGATTTGTGCGCAAAAATATTTAAGTATCTCCCAGAGCAACGCATATCTCCCTTGGAGGCGCTTTGCCACCCGTTTTTTGATGAACTTCGCGACATGACGGTGAACCTGCCGAGCGGTAAACCTCTGCCTTCACACTTGTACAATTTTTTGCGGGAGGAAATCAATGAGATGACGGAAACCCAACGTTCCAAACTGGTTCGTAAGTGAATGAGTGAATGGACACTATGGGACAAAGCAGGAACGCGTGCGGGCAGGGCACAGGGATTGGATGCGTAGAACTTGGAGACGTGGCGCTGTTTGGAGTCTCAAGGGAGTGTTGCATGGTGTGGTGGATGCAAAAGTTAATTGATAGAGTGCAGAGTGCATGAAGTGGAATGTGCAAAACAAAAAGGAGTAGAGGAAAAAAAAAAATACATCACGCAGATAAATGAAGGACGAAGAGGGGAAATAAGAAGGAATCTGAATAGTGGTTGGAAGTGGGGAGGAAAGTCAATGCGTGTGGCCATGACAGCACCGTCTTTTTCTGGACGGAGTAATGAAGGAATGACGGTCTTCTTCTACTTGTATATTTGTCTTTTCGTGTTCCGCAGTGCCCGCCACGTTTTATCTAGAGAGAGAGAGAGGGAGGTATGGGAGACGTTTAGGAGAACGGCACAACCAAGACGATAAAATATGGTGTGAGTACTGGCACACACTTCAAGCTGACCGGTTGCCGTGATTTCCACAGTTCCCACGCACGCACAGACTTTGTGTGAGTGGGTCTGAAATTGAGAGGAGGAGCAGTAACAACAAATCACACGCACCGAAGAAGAAGAAAATATGTAATGATGGTGAAAGCGCTTTTAGTTTGCTGCTTTTTTTTTTTTAACCGTTCACTTTTTTTTTCTTTTTGGCTTTAGTCTTTGAGGGTATCATGTCAGATACCGCTTTTGTGAAGGAAGGAGGAAAACGGAGAGTGTGCGGGTCTGTTTATTGTGTCTCAGCATAAGGTCGTGTACAGCGGTAGACAGACAGAAAAAAAAAACCTTTGTAGCGGCGTGTTTCTCTTGTTTTGCAGCTCCGCGGAACTGATATAGGGGTGAGTGAGGTGGAAAGGAAGCAAGAAAAAAAAAACATCCATTCCTTGGAGCCCGTTTGTATTTAGATCAAAGTCTTGTGTGTTGAAGGTTGGGCATTACGCAACTGCGGGTGGCTTCTTGTGAAGGAACATACTGCGTATGTGTGAGTGAGAGAGTGATGCTATGGTGTTTTGATGCGCCCGCAGTCACTATCGATCTTGTTTTTTTTTTTTTGATTTTGGTGCGTAACGTCCCTTTGTTTTTTTTCTTCCCTCCGCCCCTCTTTATGCCTGCGGTTACATCGACGCTGCCTTGATGGGCTGGCGATGGACACCACCGTCCTGGCCAAATGGAATCTCGTGTTGCTGACCTGTCGGCCGTGGTGTGGCGCAGCGCCGCATCGATCTGCCTTGGTCACTTTTTTTTCCTCCTCTTTTGTGACTGTTTTTCCCCTTCTCAATGTTTCTTGCGGTAGTTTTTTCGTGGGTGATATATATATATATATATATATATATAT